GAAGTGCCCTAAGAACAGACACACACACACTTCGAAATACAAAAGAGACTTTTATGTAGGATGCTATGATCATATACCTCACTTTCCAAATGAGGAACCTATGGCACAGAGAGGTTAACTAATTTGCCTAAAGTCACAGAGCTAATAAATCGTAGAGTCAGGATTTGAACCCATGTTGAGCTTAGACTTCCTCTCTAACAAATGCGCGCAAAATCTCTTCCACCTCCAGAGCCTTCCCATTCTTGGTCACCCTCTCTTAAGAATAGATGGTCACATCGCACCTTCACTCTCTTCTCATTCTAAATTTTTTGTGAAGGCATAATGTAGACCTCACCGTCTTATAAAAAACATCTATAATATTCTACACTTTTAATTAAGTCCTGCATTTCCACAAGCCCTCTATTTTCTATTCTTACTGGCTACTAAAATCCTATCTAAATCCAGAGATCCAGAGCTTCTTAATTAACCACTTCTTGTGAAAGAAACTCCAGGGAGATGAGGATATTGACACAGGTGTAAAGTGAGGCAGAAAATATTCACAAGAATGAAGGCCTTTGGGTAAGAATACACTATAACCATTCTGTTTCCCGTCTTGTAACCATAAAAGTACCTCCAGAGATTATTCATAGAAACATCAAAACTCCACAAGCGTAATGTTAATGAAATGTAATCATTAATCTCAAAATCTTGCGTACCAGTTAGTTGTTATGGGAAACAGCTTCCAACCTGAGTAAGTTATTTCTCTCAGTGTATAAATGGCCTGGATTCCTCGACTTAAGCAAAAGAGCCCCAAACTCTGTACTTCACTCTTGGCTAGTTGTGCCCACAGGAATATCTGCATCATCACCTTTTTATGGCATAAGCTCCAACTTTTGTTCCATTTAGGGCCTCCCTTATGACTATCAAGAGTCTCGTTTGAAGGGGAAAAAAAAGAATATTAACATTTCTCCTCTGCTTTTCTACTGCTCTTACATTTAAATTCTCTTTGAGGCCCTCCCTGTGTATGTTGCTGGTTGGCTAGAATAGTGAGAACATTTGGGGAAGAAGAAAAAAAATAAAAATTCTTAAATTTCATCTTATTACATCTGTATATCCAACCAGTCAACTCAACATGTCTGTCCACAGGGTGTTGCTCAGGCATCCTCAAGCCATTGGGTCCACAACTGAGGTTACCCCCTACTTCCCCACCCCATAATCTTACTTCCCTTCTGGGTCCCAGTTTTGGTGAATGGCACCTCCATCTATCCCCAAGGCATGAGCCAAGAGCTTCCCTTTCCTTCCCTCATCCAAAGTTCTGACAACTCTTCCTCACGTACCTCTAAAATCCCTTTCCTGCTCCCCATTCCACCTTCCTCTGCTTTGGACCATAAATTCTCACGTCTCACTGGTGGTAACTTCAGTAGCCTACTAATCCCCACCCCCCATTCCTGTCCTCCGGTGATTGCCCCATTGCTGCCCAGATAATCTGTCCGAGATGTAATCTGGTCGGGTCACTCCCTTGCTTGAAATCCTTGGAGGTTCCTCATTAACTTGAGGGTTTAAAAAAACCCTCTTAGGATCTGACCCTAGGTGCCCCTAGCTTGAGTCCTTCCCGCTCCCAATCTGGTTTCCAGCTATGCCAAGCTAATGGTAGCTCCCAGGCACTCATGTTTTCTTATGTCTCCTGCGCATGCACACACTTCCCCCTCTGTCAGGAAAAGCCCCTTCCCCTCTTCCTGGCTGGATTAGCATCCCCTCAGCTCTGAGTGCTGAACGGTAAATAAGTGAAAATTTAGTCCTTCGAGCCACTTGGTAGTTTGAGGCCTGCCCCAGACACTCTCTCTAATGCCCCTAGTCTAGGCTATTCCTCCTCCAAGATCCCAGAATGGCTTCCCACTCTCCCTGTCCCAGCATATATCCCAGGGAATGGAAATTTTCTCTCTAGCACTTCTGCCTCCCCACTGCCATTGTCAGCTCTGTATCCCTCCTCTACGTGCCTGCAGGAATGTTTGGTGAATATGTGAGGGAACAGCAAGAGAGATAAACATCATGCAATAGAATTCCACCCATTCTTCAGTGACAAAGAATATGCCAGGTGGTCTGAACTAATTTAATGTCTCAGCAATGTTCCCTGAATCAATGTTTGCTGACTGCTATAGGCTGAATGTTTGTGCCCCACCCCCAAATTCATAAGTTAAGGTCCTAGCCCCCCACTGTGATGGTGTTTGGAGGCGGGGTCTTTGAGAGGTAATTAGGTTTAGATGAGGTCAGGAGGGCGGGGCCTTAGTCCGGTGGGATTAGCGTCCTTACAAGAAGAGACATCAGAGAGAGCACTGTCCCCTACCCTTCTCTCTCTGCCCTCTGAGGACACAGTGAGAAGATGGCTCTCTGCAAGCTAGGAAGAGAGCTCTCAAGAGGGCCCAGCCATGCCTGCGCCCTGATCTTGGACTTCTAGCCTCCGGAACTGTGTTGTTGTTTAAGCCACCCTACCTATAGTGTTTTGTTATGGCAACGTGAGCAGACTAAGACACTGACCAGCTCTGAGAGTAGTCAGCTCCAGCACAGGGGAAGGGAGGAAAAGAATCTGAAGGAAATTGAGGAGTTTTTATTCCCGTATACCCCTCACTCTTGTATTTACCTGTTTCCCAATAGCTTCTCTCTCTCTCTCTCTCTTTTTTTTTTTTAGAGAAAGAGAGTGGAAGGGGAGGAGGGCAAGGAGAGTGAAAGGGGTGAGAGAGAGAAAAATATGGATGTGAGAGAAACACATCAATTGTTGCCTCCCACATGCACCCCGACTGGGGCCTGGGATAGAGCCTGCAACCCAGGTACGTGCCCTTGACCGGGAATCAAAGCCATGACCCTTTGGTGTACAGGCCAATGCTCTAACCACTGAGCCAGACCAGCCAGAGTGCAGTAGCTCCCCTTTTGATAACTAAAAATGCATGACTCTCCAAACCAGACTCCATTCCCTCCATTAATCAGTGGACTTGTCTAAAATCTGAACTCATCTGTAATGGAACTACCCACTTCTCTTCCCCCACCCCTTCCAGCAGCACAGTCTCAGAGTTGAGAGGAAACATGCCTCTGCGTCATCTTGTTCCAGCAAGAGGTCTTCAGACATGCCAAGCAGCCCGTTTCTTTCCATACAGCTCTAGTTTTCAGAACTTTTTTCCTAATATTGGGACCGAAATTGGACATATCACTACAAACTCTAGCCTAACAACAACATTTTAACTAATATTTTTGACACAACTACTGTGTGCCGGACAGGTGCTACACACTGGGGAACCAACAGTGGGCAAGATCAACAACTTGCCCCCCCCTTTTTTTATAGAGCTTACTGTCTACTGGGGAAGGTAGACAATAAATAAGTAATTAAAGCACTTGCAAATGGTGATCCAGGCTGTGGAGGGCATATACAGGCTGCCGTGACAGAGAACGATGGGTGGTGGTGTAGAGGGTCCTACTCTCATAAGGTAATCAGAGAAGTTTTATCTGAGGAGGCGATTTTAAAGTGAAACTTCAGGGATTAGAAGAGCCACCCTCATGGGGAGCTAGTGGAAGAAACTTCCAAGTAGAGAGAAAGGCAAGTGCAAAGGCATTGAAGTCTTTGGGAAGAGGGTGGGGTGGCTGGACATGGTGGGAAGTGGGTGAATGTGACCCAGGATGAGGCTAGAGACCAGATGTCCTCTTAGTGCAATAAGAAGCCATTGAAGAA